ATCAAACAACACATGGACATCTACCTTTAGACTATATGGAGCTATAAACTGAGTTGAAATTAACACATAAAAGAGCTGTGGTATCTAAAACAAAAATAAAAGCTTTTAATTGGATGTAATACGAGAACTGGAGCTGAGCTGGAGCTGATGGCAGAGAGAATATGTTTAAATGATTTTGTTAATTGGTGTTGTAGCCTTGAATATGGCAAGTCTTTAATGTGAACAGGCAAATGGATGCAGAGTGAATGAGGGCGAGTGTTAACGCAAGAATGGAGCGTCCAGAACGAGACTGAGCGGCCTCTGATTTTAAACATTGAACGGCTTCTCTTCAGCAGAACTGAAAGCACTAGTCTCAGAGAGCTGGCACCAACACAGGCCGAAACTAAACCAGGAATGTGGAAATGAACCCATTTCTTTTTGGCTTGGATTTCATGGTTTAGAGTAAGTGGGTCTTCTGAGGAGACACACAACCTCCTTTGAGGTGAAAGCACTGTGACAGTGCTGTGCATCATGGGAGCCAGCAGGCACACAGCGAAGCATGAAAGAGGTAAAGACAGAGCCACTCAGCCAGTAGTGCAGAGAGCCTCCGCAGAGCTGGGAGTCGGATTTCAGGGCCGGAGATCCGAGGACGAATCTTCTGGGGTTTGATTACGGCAATCAGTCCCGGATGGACGACAATTTCCAGTGACCATGGCGGCAGACAGGATATGATGTCAGTGGTTATCAGAGTGCTTCACGACGAAAAACAGGATGATGGAGGATAATGGTTGGCCACAGATACTAAACACTGCTTTATGGCGGTTATCAGACAGCAGTTAATGGAAGTTCCTATTGTCCATGTCATTATGTAACCTGTACTATAACTCTACCTCCTGTCACTGTACTAGCTGAATAAGGAGTCACATTTAGATTATTGTTGATACTAACAATCACCAACTACAGTTTAACACGACAGTAAATCATTATTTGTTTTTAGTATAGTTGTGTGTGTAGAAGACATAGATATTTGATCACAAGAAAATTAATCTGTGACTATTTTGATAATTGATGATCAATCAATCAAAGCAAAAATACCAAACATTCTTTCTCTCAAATGCAGAACTGGGTATCGAACTTTTATGAACCGACCAAATAATCGGTCACATTTTTGAGTGTGTAAAGAGACCAAGCTAAAATTCGTAACGTAATGTTTAATGTCATTTTCTTTTTTGGCAAAATGGATTTGATAAAATTGGTATCGAAAAAAAGTATCATTAAGAATCAGTACCGAAATCAAGGTCTTGATATCAGTATCAATATCAAAGACGATACCCAGCTGTCCTCAAATGCCAGGAGATTCTGCTTTTCTTCATTTTACACAATTATAAATGAAATACGTTTGGATTTTGGACTGTAGGAGGGACAAACTCTGCCTCAGGGAACTGGTGCAGTGATGTCAACGTGTTGATCTGTCTCTGTCTCCTTGTTATATCAGTATGTCATTGTTTTCACACACTCCTACATACAGTCAGGTCCTCATTATTTGGACAGTGACACGTTTTTCCTTTTTTTTTGTCTCTTTACACCACCACAATAGACTTGGAACAAAACAGTCAATTTGTGATTTAAGTGTAGTCTCTCAGCTTTAATTCAAGGTGTTTAATAGTATAATATAATTGGACAACTGACTGACGAGCAGTTCTACGGCCATGTGTGTCCTGTTCCCTCGTTATACCATGACTAATTAAGCAGATAAAAAGGTCTGGAGTTCATTACAAATGTTGAATTTGCATTTGCTATTTGGTCGCTGGAATTCTCAGCATGCGGTCCAAAGAGGTGTCACTGCGAGCGAAGGGGGCCCATCATTAGGCTGAAAAAACAAAGCAACCCTCAAACTAAGACAGCATCCAAAGTGGATGATCACAGATTTCTTTCCTTGGTGAAGAAGAAAACCTCCTCATTACATCTACTGAAATCAAGAATACTCTGGGCGAGGTGTGTCTCTGGGCGTGTCGCTGTCAAAGTCTACAATCAAGAGACGCCTTCATGAATCCAAGTACATAGAGTTTACAACAAGGTGCAAACCACTGGTAACACTAAGGAACAGGAAGGCCATTAGACTTCTGAAAACATCTGAAAAAGCCTTCCCGGTTTTGGAACAAGGTAGGGTTGGACAGATGAAACAAAGATGAACTGAAAGTGTGGAGAAGGAAAGGAACGGCTCGTGATCCGAAACACATCACCTGTCGGACACGGTGGAGGCGGTGTTGTGGCATGGGCGTATATGGCTGCCAATGGAACTGGCTCGCTGGTGTTTATTGATGATGCGACTGCTGATAGAAGTAGCAGAATGAAGTCTGAAGTGTATAGAGCTACTATCTGCTCACATTCAGACAAATGCTGCAAAACTAATAGGACGGCGCTTCACAGTGCCGACGGATAATGACCAGAAACATACTGCAAAAGCAACCCAAGAGCTTCTCAAGGCAAAGAAATGGAATATTCTTTAATGGCCAAGTGAATGACTGCAAAGGATTTTCCTCCAAATATTAAAAATAATGCTTATATTTACAATTTTGTTTGTCCAATTTCTTTTGAGCCTCTGAAAACGGGGGAGTATGTATCGATGTAGTTGTTATTATTCACAGTTAATGCAATATTTCTGTTAAACACATTGAATTAAAGCTGAGAGACTACACTTAAACCACCTACTGACGGCTTCATTTCAATCTACTGTGGTGGTGTAAAGAGACAAAATAAAAAAAATAAAAAAGAGTCAATGTCCAAATACTTATGGACCTGACTGTAACAGAACATCACTACAACACACACTCCCTCTCTTTTTCTCTTCACCCACTCCTCTGCCTCGGTTATTTCCTCCAAACACACACACACACACACACACACGCACACACGCCCTAATATTCTACCTTGTCCTGAATCCAGTGATGCTGAAAAGTGAACGAGACCAACAGGAAGTGAGAGCGGACAGACAGAACACCACCGGAGAGGGAGAAGTTCAGCACCGAGCAGAGCCACGCAACGACATAAAAGACACTTCAAAACTCCTCTGAGGAGCCTTTGATATGCAAAGAGCCGTGCTTTGATACTACTGTCCTGACAGGCTTTCATTGTGCCGGGGACAAAGAAGTGGCACTTTTTAGAAATAACATTCCTCTGAATCCAAACACGCCGTTTCATCAAAACACTGTGAGCTCCTGACAGGCTCGCCGGGGAGAAGGTACGTACACGAGAGGCAGCGCGGAGTTCACTGTCAGCTCGCGGCTGCAGGACATCCAACAGAAACACTGATGACGTCTAATGTTATAAAGACATGTTGATAGTGTCAATATACAGTATGTCAAAACTTATCATAAATCTCAATTTTTTATATATCTATTTTTTGTTGGACAAAATAGGCCGCATGGGAAACATCTATTTTCACATATTTACACTCTATAGTTTAAAAATTCACCTGTGAGTTACAGTAAATCTGTTGGTGCTTAATTCACTTGATAAACACGTTTTTTATCTCTGCTTTTAGATGAATTTACCCTCTACAATATTCCCTCAAAACATGAATTACATCGCAGGGTTCCTCCAGGTTCATCATCTTTTGCAGGTTGTCTAAACTCAGATTCCATGAGACCCATAAGCTCATAAATGAGGCATCCAAAGGAAGATGCCCTCGCTCCTCTGGGTCCTGCTCCCATGAGTCATAGCTGAATTAGCATCTGCAGCGTCTTTATCCACGTCTTTGAAACAACCTACTGATGTATTTATTAGCTGTCTTTCTGAAATGGTTCTGATGAGACCAGAACAGCCTGGAGGAGCAGGTTGTAGAAAGTTCTGGTTCTGGTGGAGGAACATTGAGTCCCGGCCAAGAGGCATGTTTTTCTTTTTTGTGTGTGTGTGTGTGTGTGCTGGGTGTCCTCCAACAGCTCGTCCCTTCAAACCCATCTGAGGATGCAAATATGGCCTGAATATGCAGCTTTACCCCCCCCCCCCCCCCCCCCCCCCCCCGCTCGCCTGAGATATTATGTATGATGACATGTCTGAGATTGTGGGGGGGAACAGTCTGTGAGTGACTTGTGGCAGTGCCGGCGTGGGACCGACATTTTTCTGGAACGACGCCCAGGAGAGTGAATAAATAAAGCTGACCCTGAGCCTGATCTGCTTCATGGTGAACCGCACACGCTGAACTTAGTCAGCTTGTCATCCACTGGAAGGCAATTACAAAATAAACATCAGGAATTAAACTACTCGACCTCCGTAACGATCAAACAGCTGCAGCTGATTCAGAGTCCTCTGTGAGACCAGGACAGTGGATCACAGTCCACAGCGTTCAGTTTTTATGCTGCACAAAATATAATCATTTTATAAAACATGGGACTACAGCTACATATTGTTTGCCTTTAATTTCCTGAATTCCTAAAGTTTTGGGATGAGCAGCTCAAACCCACATCCTCTACACGCTGTGCTTAGAAAATAAAACCCCAAAAATGTCACCATGACGCCTCTGGGGGCTGATTTGTTGTTATGGGCGGACAGGAACGCAGACAGATGAAGAGGGAATGAGGAGGATGTTTCAATGAGACACACAATCAGAAGCTCGTCATCTTGACAGACAGGCAGGCTGACGCGTTACCACGGTAACACAATCTCTCCGTCGGAGGCCGTCCACTCATTCCCAGGAAAACAAAAATACATAAATAAAAAAAGGGAGAACAACCAACAAACAGGCGAAGACAAGTGAGAAGATCCAGTGCACTGTAAAAAATGTCCGTCTTAACAAACCTCCTCATGCCAAAGTGAAGAGCTGTTTGTTTCAGTTTGCTTAAAGAGTTTACCAAACATAAAATATTTTGGTAGATGTATAAGTTTAACATGTGTCCTTTATGAAATTAAAATAGAAGTTTTAATCCTTGGTTGCAGAACAGGTTTGTCATTCAGACAGACATTCTTTCAGTGTGACAAAGTGCACAACATGAATTGAATCACAGGCAAGCGGCGGGACTTACGTTCTGTTTCCCCACGATGTTGTCGAAGGGAAGCTCGGGGCTCCAAGACGCTTCGTTGAAGGTGGCGCTGCTGGCGCGGCGGTCGGCCGAGCTGGCCGCCTCCTTCATGATGTCCTCGGGCAGCGTGAGCAGACTCTCCTCCGGCTGCTTGATGAGGTACGTCTCGATGTTGTGGCGGCGGAGGAAGTCGTTGCGGTCCTTCCCGTGGCCCTCCTCCACCTCGTAGTCTCCGTTTAAACAGTCCAGAGCGGCTTTGGAGATGTGGATCCGCCTGGAACAGGACAGAGAAGGTCCAGTTACATTTATTTTTCAATTTAGAAAAATACAACTTTAAAGGTCTCATATAGTCTAAAGGCAGATGTCCATGTGTTGTTTGATTATAGATCAGGTCTACGTTCTATATTAATACTGTGAAATTATCAAAGCCTCAGTCCACAGAGAAATGCTCACAGCCTGTATTCAGAAACTGAGCCTTAGAACCAGCCGTCAGGACTTCTGGAACTTTGTGATGTCACAACAAAGCAGTCACTGCTCTCAGCCATGCCCAAAGCCCCGCCCACCTGGACCTACCATCCTGCCTTGCAGGATTTGGTTTCTCTGAGTGTTTACCTGTAATCTACTATAATTTTATTGGATCACTCACAAAATAGTCAGACATTAGAGCCAATCAGAAGAGAGGATCAGAGCCTCCTCTCTTCTGATTGGCTCATTGACCTGTTGTTACTAGAGCTCTAGAGAGAAGCCTGAGAGAGGAGATGTAAAACTACACTGAGATGGTTTTTGGTTCTTTAATAAGAATAAAAGATAGTAAAAGAGGAAAATATGGAGCTTTAAATGACTTTTCAAGCCAAATCCTCCCATTCAGTTCACAAATATAACAAGGGTCTGTATGTTAGAAGAGTCTGCAGGTGATGACAGTGACACCATCAGTCAGAGGAGAGCAGCCAATCAGTGACATGTGCAGGTGTGAATGAAATCCTGGACAGTGTCAGGTCACTGAACTCGGAGGTCAGGTCCACCATGTTCCTGCATATGTTCCTATCAGACAGTTGGAAATCTTCTGTCTACGGCTCAGACACTGCAGCTTCATCCATCTGTGTTATGCAACTGAGTTGAATGAAGAGCCCAGGTCGGGGTTACAGTGTGGCTCAACAACAGATACTGGCAGGATATTTAAAACCAGCAGTTAGAGAACTAATCCCGTCCTGCCTCTCCAGGCCAAACAGGAACATCAGAGTGAAAAAAACAGAGATAATTTGGCAGAATATACTTTAAAGTGGTGAAAGCAAAAACATCCCATTACGATGTGCTAAACTGCCCCAACAAACACAAATTTATTCCCATCTGCAGATCTCCGCACACATTTACTCTGAAGAAATTATCTCACTAAGTTCTCCACAAATAAGATATTTAGTTTTTTTGTTTGGGCTCTGAGGCAAAAATGTATTTTTCTTCAAGAGGCAATTCATATTTTTTTATTTACTTACATAATTTGATCCCAACCCTGCTTGTTTACCAGCTGAGCTGCATCAGCACCCGGAGGAGGTGTGTCTCGTCCACTCACCCTGGGATCCCTCCAGACTCCAGCTTGTTGGCGATGTCCACGTCCCAGGACCAGACGTCAAACTGCCACTTCCTGAGTCCCAGCACGCCGCAGAGCACCGAGCCCGAGTGGATCCCGATGCGCATGTCAATGTCATGTTTCGTACGCGATCTGACGTATCTGGAGGAAACACAATGAGCCTGGTTCAGGTTTTACAAAGTAACCATCAGGAGGAGGAGGAGGATCTCCAACAAGAAGTTCATTCATCTGTTCATCCTGAGCAGATGAATGAATGAATGTAAAGCGCATGATTCAGTCTTTTTCCTGTTCTATATCAATACTGTGAAAGTATCAAAGCCTCAGTCCACAGAGAAATGCACACAGCCTGTATTCAGAAACTGAGCCTTAAAACCAGCCATCAGGACTTCTGGAACTTTGTGATGTCACAACAAAGCAGTAACTGCTCTCCCCAAGCCCCGCCCACCTGGACCCACCATCCAACCTTGCAGGATTTGATTTCTCTGAGTGTTTACCTGAAATCTGCTATAATTTTATTGGATCACTCAGAAAACAGTCAGCTAATCAGAGGAGAGGCTCAGAGACTCCTCTCTTCTGATTGGCTCACTGACCTGTTGTTACTAGAGCTCCAGAGAGAAGCCTGAGAGAGGAGATGTAAAACTACATTGAGATGGTTTTTGGTTCTTAAAACCACAAATATATCTTCTCATGGATCAACACTTCAAATAAAACACAGGAGAAGAGGAAAACATGGAGCTTTAAGTTTTGTGCTCTTGAGTAAAAAGGCTAAAATTTTCTAGAGGTAACTTTGGGTCAGTGTGTACAGTGTCTGTGTGCATTAAGTCAGCAAATGAATATACATGAAAATTTCCTTCGGCGAAACAGAACACAAATAACAGTGATGGACCGGCATCGTTCACAAAACCACCAAGAAATGAACACAATACATTTCACATGTATCAATAAGCCCAGAAAAAGAGGAGAGAAACAACTTTTCACACTCGTTCATTAATTTGTTTCTCATTTCATACTTTATTTTCCCTGAGCACAATAAACGCACGAAAAACAGAGGCTGATAAAAAAAAAGTGTGTAAAGAGCAGACGAGGTAGTCACGCCCATTCCTGCCTCCAGGCCTCATTTCATGCTTCATAACAGCAGCGATGAATGCAAGGTGAAAGGCATCCTGGGAGTTTGTGACAGGTGCTTTAAGTCAGTCGACTGCAGAACAACACCCGGGAGGGGGGGGGGGGCTGGAAACAAACTCAAACTAACTGCAGCTAGTCATAATGATGATGATGATGGTGATGTGATACTTTGCTGACTCAGCAGGGAAGGTCTTCCCTTCCTGCAGAGGTCAGAGGTCAGAGGTCAGAGGTCAGAGACACAGCAGTGACCACTGTTAACTTAGTGTAAGTGTGATTCATGGCAACTCAAAGCATAAGATGGATAACAGTGTCAACAGTGACATGAGACACAATTTACTTTTATCAGTTTTTAATCTACGTCATACTTTCTTAACTCTGTCTGTTTCCACTGCTCTTTATTTTGTCGAAACACCAACTTCTTTTGTCAAACTTTTTTTGTGATATTTCAACTTATCCAACATTTCCACTCAGGATTTTTATGCATGGATTGAAAATGTGCACAGAACACACTCACTCATCACTCTGCTGCTCTCACTTTCCCTTTTTAACAGCAAGAAGTGTTGATATTTTAAAAAGCAAACTCAAGACCTACCTATTTAGTTTGGCTTATTCTTGAATATTTTTTATTTATCTGTCTATTTATTTATATATACTAAGCAGCTTTACTGCTATGTCCTGGACTGGACTGTTTTCCTTTTAATACCCAACTTTTATTTCAGGTTATTTATTTCATTTCTACTTTTATTACTGGTTTTACTCACTTCCAAACATTTCCTCTCTTTTTAGCATTTATTCTTTTTAGTATTTTATCTTTATTGTTATATCTTCATCTTTGCTTTCCAGTCTTCAGTGTTTCCTCAGTGCAAATTCATGAGATTCGCGATAGCGTTTCCTCAGTTCCTGGTAGTATTTTATTAATTTTTATTGTTTTTATCTCTTAGTGCTCTGTGTGTAGATGGGGGTGACTATGTGTGTGTTTTTGTGTGTGTGCGTGCGTGTGCGTACGTGCGTGTGTGTGTGTGTGTGTGTGTGTGTGTGTGTCAGAGAGAGGGAAGGGGGGATCTGATTGATTGATTGATTAACACAAATACTGATCACACTCATTAATTATAGCAACAGTTACACACCAAAGACTTAATGCTGCTCCTGGCATTGACATGTACTGAAGAGCAGATGTAAAGACGCAGAGTAAACAGACTCTGCGCTCACACAGCTCTTTTCTCATGTCAGAGAGCGCTCAAAAAATACATGCCACAATCACCCATTCACAAGCCACACATCACACACTGATGGAGCAGCCATCAGGGGCAATTTGGGGTTCAGTATCTTGCCCAAGGACATTTTGATACAAGGACTGGAGGAGCCGGGTATCGAACCGCCGACCTTCTGATGAGTGGTCGGTTGGTCAATCGCCATGAGTAAACGCCAGTGATTTCATCTTTTAATTGTTTTAGTCAAAACGCCAGCAATAAAATCGTTAGCGCTCAGTGAGCTTCACACTAACGGCGGGAACACTGCGTGACACGTGCGTCTCACTCCTCACAGCTGTGTCGCGCGGTTTACAGATTCAGTGTCTCGCTGATTTTTCACACGTGACGGCAGCAAAAAAAAAAAGGCAGAGAAAAGACATGTTGTGCAGCAGCAGGATAAGACGCTGCAGACATGTTGCAGCACACAGTGTTGACATGATAGTATACAGCACAAATTTCACAGTTTATCCATCTCTAATCTCTCAGCGCCCCCCCCCACACACACACACACACACATCACTCCTCCTCCTCCTCCCTCGCTGTCACGCTGAACGTGATGCGACGGGGTCAAAATGCTGCAGGTAATCATAATAAAACGACTGTCTATGAGCCTGTTCAGTATCAGTATCTGCAGTGGGTGTGTGCTGTGAGTGAGTGAGTGACTGGAGACTTTGTTTCTGCTGCAGCGCTCTCTTCTTACATGATCTGAAGATTACTCTGTCAGTTATGTGTCAGGATTCCTGAGCTCATGAGATCTGTTAAGCCCTGGTTGTGTAATTTAAAAAAAAAAAATACGATCCATCACTAAAAATGTTTCTCCCCCCTCAGTGATGTGTGCATGTGTGATATGGTTGGAGCGTGTGATTGCATGCATTATTTGTTACTGATATTCTGCAGAAACGCAGCCAGAGGCAGATTCTTGCTCTTGCAAACATGGCAGGGAAGCTTCATTCAGATCACAGAACTGCTGCACTGAGCACCGTGAGAAACAAGATAAAAGCAATTTACAGATAACAGCACTGTCATCCAACACCTCGGGGGAAAAGACTTTTTTTTTTTTTAAGCTAATTCCTTTAAAGTCACAGAGAAACAGTCCATGAGTGTCCTGCTTCTCTGGTTCAACATATTTGCAGATAAGAACTGCAACTGTACCAGAGTTCAATATTCTATAGGTTCTTAAACTTACTGTTGTCAATTCTGAACACACACACACACACACACACACACACACACACACACACACACACACACATCCATATTGCTGCAATAACTGACTGGCAGCAATATGAATAAATCACAGATAAAAATCCATTAAGAAATCGTCACTAGATCCAACAGTGACTGCAGACTGACTTTCATGGTGCAGATTCACTAAACTTGAATTACAAACTATGAACTACAGGCTGAAAGACTCCGGTTCAAGGAGTAGCCTGAATAAACCTACTGACTCTATAGCTGTGTCCCAGTTCAGGGGCCGCATCCTTCAGGGGACGTGGTCTACGAAGGGGCCACACCAACTGAACTCAAGTAAGACAGTCTGGCCTATGGAGGGTTTTCGCTTCGCCCTTTACCGTTGTGTCGCAAAGTGACGCTCCCGTCGCCTAGCAACCTTGAAAACATGTTAACTTTTTTTCAGAGGTTTTAAGGCCCGTGGTTTTAACAACTGTACGGTTAGCTGTTGAACTGAGCTGAAACGCAATACTTACATTTAAAGGTGTAATCCTCAGGCTCTCTGTTTGCTGCCATATTATTTTCATTACCAGCGCGCAACGAATCTTGGGAAAAGAAGGACGCATTTCTCAGCCACATCCAAGGGAGCCCTTTAGAACGGGACCACCTAGTCGGTTCTTCAGTGCATGCTGAATCGGGACACAGCTTATGGCAACAGCACTGTACTGCATACTTCCATACTCTAGATTCTGTGAGACTTAGATTTTCCCAGGATGTCATTACCTTTGATTTCCATCATACACACACACCCTTAAATCCACTTAGAAATCACAGGAAACAGACACCCCATGTAATTCCTTCAGTATCACAGTAATGTACTGATAGTTGTCTGTACATCCATCGCTACACTACACCACCACAGAGACTGCTAATAGCATCCGAAACCAAGCAAAAAACAAAACAAACAACAACAGAAAGCCGACAAACACACAGACACCATGGCTCTAGACAGAAAGTCTAAATGTGATGGAAATTCATTCAAAAATTCAACAGTCAAAAGTGAGATGAAATCCCTGCAGCTGTGTGGTTAAAAATAACTGAACAGAAACAGTATGGAAGAAGAAGAAAAGTACCTGATGGTTTTGATCATGCTGAGGCCCATCTCCACACAGCAGTGGGCGTGGTCCTGTCTGGGCTCAGGAAGACCAGACACACAGTAGTAACAGTCTCCCAGTATCTTTATTCGTAGACAGTGGTGCTCCTGCAACACAACGGCCGGATCAGTCAGCAGACAAACACACCCCATGTTTATTAACTCATTAAATCCACCATGTGTGATCTAAAATGGAAATTATTCAAAAAAAAAAATAAATGTGAAAACAATGTCCCCGTCAGGTCAGTTCTGCATGAACGTGTCGACTGTGAAATCCTGACTGATCGAGCATGACGGTCTGAAACGCTCCTCAGTCTAATATCAGACAAACATACAAGTCTGACAGAGTGAACATTCAGTCTGTTATTCACTCTGAAGAAAATATTTATCCTGGCTTCTGGTGTCTTTATTTAGCTTTCATGAGCACTGAGAGGGAGAAGAAGACCTCCAGAAAAGACACAGTCAGATCTGGCTTTGACTTCTTTTTCTATAAGAGTGTGGAAAACTAACGTTCTCCCAACCACCTGGACCCACCATCCTACCCTGCAGGATTTGGTTTCTCTGAGTGTTTACCTGAAATCTGCTATATTTTTATTGGATCACTCACAAAACAGTCAGCCAATCAGCAGCGAGGCTCAGAGCCTCTTCTTTTCTGATTGTCTCATCGCCCTGTTGTTACTAGAGCTCCAGAGAGAAGCCTGAGAGAGGAGATGTAAAACTACACTGAGATGGTTTTTGGTTCTTAAAACCACAAATATATCTTCTTATGGATCAACACTTCAAATAAAACACAGAAGAAGAGGAAGATATGGATCTTGAACTGATGAAAAGCTGTTTTGGTCTAAATCAGAGTCTCAAATAATAACTCTACCTCACAGTTGTGCTTAAAAAAATAAAAAACAAAGCCAACTTTAAAGCCTAGGTGATCATTAAAAAACTCACTGACAAAAAAAAAAAAAGAAAAAGAAATTAGGGTTAAAAAAAATGGGGTCAAAGGTTAAGCGACTTACGTGTGCGAGGCGGTCGAAGCGTGCAAAGAGTTCATTCAACATTCGCACCAGCTCCTGCGCGGACAGCGTCGTGGAGAGGTTTGTGAAGCCTTTAACATCTGCGAAAAGAATGCTGAATAAAATACGGAAATGTCACTTTAATATCCAGGTCAGTTCTTTAACAACCATCAAAACACTTTTGCATTTACATTTAAATGTTGGTGTTTTCCCTGTGAAACTCTTCTTTCAATCAGCTGTGACCTCACTCTGATCAAACATCACTACAGAGACACTGATCTGCAGGTCTCAGACAGATCCAGATCCAGATCCAGATCCAGATCCAGACCCAGACTGAGACTTCCAGCAGAATCAGTATCAGACTCTATCAATTAATTATTACTATTCATCATACACCAATAGTCAGCATCTGATTTCTCTTGCACTAGAACTGCTTCAGAAGAATGCGTGGATGTTAAAGAGGAGGCTGGATTTTACTGGGTGTTACTGAACACCACCCGGCCACTGCAGTCTGATACCAGTCTGTACGATCAGCACAAACTCTCAAATGTCAATGTTCTTTTTTTTTTCTTTTTTTTTTTTTTATGTAAAGCTCATGTTCCAGTTTTTGTAAAACATGTTGCAGATATTGAGAGTTAGAGTCAAGGGCAGGTTTAGGATTTAGTCAAATTTAGAAAACTACATCTGGTTAAAGCTCAGTAAAGAAAGCAAATGATCACTGAGTGAAAAGGCAGAACTACATCAGAATATGTAGAAGGAACTGGAGGTAGCAGGTGGAAGTGATGACACTAACGATGCTTTCATCCCGTTCGCACAGGTGAACCCACACAGGTGTTTTCAGGTATTTGGGCTGATTAGACCTCTTCAGACTGAGCGTGACTCACACATTGCTTATCGCTGCACTTCATTGCCATCAGTATGTTCTTGTAAAGATGTGCGTGCTCCTGGTTTGGGACCGCTGAGGGAAGTCTTAGTGCGACAGCTACACAATGATATGATAGTGACAACAGTGTCAACGGTTTGTGTTTGAGCCTTTTCCTGTTCCAACATAACATTCTCCAACCAGTGCAGAGGTCTGCCCAGCCGCTGCACCTGCAAACACCTGTGTTTGTACACAGTTCAACCCGTGGCCAGTTAGTTTCACTGGAGAGTAAACTGGCAACAGTAAATACACCTGCAGCCCCTGCCAGTGATTTAAAGTCAAACTCTCTGCTCCAAACTCACTCTTCTGAAATATACTTTCACTTTTCAGACACAATATTACCTTGAAAGTTTTCACAAGCACACTGCCATGACTCACCCNNNTTAAACTGCTGCCTTGGGTGGGTGGGTGGGGGTTTGAATCAACTGACAGTATCACAGCCTCACCTGACATTCTCGTAGCGGTGGATGTAGATTCTGTGAAACTGATGCTGGAGGTGTTCATCCTCTACATTTGTCATGTCGTTGATCATTTCCAAAACTACAAAACGTGGCAGGACTGATAACACCAGTCTCTCCTGTGGAGGCAGAAAAGTAAAGAATATTAGTCCTCTAAAAAACTTTTATGTACCGCCTCGTGGTTGTATCCCTCCACCAACCAGCCAAGTCACAGGAAATATAGTCACAGTCTCCCTGAGTTACAGTGTTGGATAATGACCAGACGTGCTTTTGCTGAACATTATGATGTCACAGTGAAATTGACCTTTGACCTTTTGGATACAAAATGTCATCTTTTCACTTTTTCCTTATAGACGTTTGACTTAAATTGTGTCATAATTAGTCTATGTATTTGTGAGTTCATGTGTTTTGTGAGGTCACAGTGACCTTGACCTTTGACCTTTGATCACCAAAGTCTAATCAGTTCATCCTTGAGTCCTGGTGAATGTTTGTGTAGAATTTGAAGAAGTTCCATCAAGGCATTACTGAGATATCATGTCCACAAGAATGGGACGGATGGAGGGACAACCTGAAGACATAATAACAAAATAAAAATAAAAATAATAAACATAATTGGGGGTTTGGCTTTACTGTAAAAATCTCATCTTATCAAGTCATTTTTTTTGTCTGTTTAAAGTCCTAAAGCTCAGATTCTCTATAAAAACTGAGTGAATTTACCACTGATGAAATTTTCTACCTGACACAAATCAACACCAGGAATTTTTTCTAGGATCAAGTGTAATCTGCCTTTTTCTTCTTCTCCTTCTTTCAGCTCTAGAAAAAAACAAGCTGAAATCATCTTATCACAGTCTTTCTTCTCTTCTTTTAAAGTAAACAAGCCTCTCAGGGCTCAAATATATGAAAACTTAAGTGATAAGATCCTTAAATAAGACCTAAGTTCAACAAATGTTTCAGAGTTCCATGTTGTACAATGAATAAGAAAACATCGAGATTAAGGCCAAAGAGGAATTAAATCGAGACACAAGTCAGAAAGTATTAGACGGGCAAACACAAGTGAAGCTTGTAAGCTCGTAAAAAGAAATTACATAAAGGTCTGTCTGTAAGACATAAATGAAAAAAAGAATTTGGCTCTGCCAGCCTAAGTTTCTCCAGCAGGATCGCGCAAAGCCTCCAGGCCCACAGCAACAACACAAGCAACACAATTCCAGTCCTGTGGTGGGGGTTTTTTCTGTCACTTGGCGAAAGCAGAAACAGATTTGGAGTGGGAGAGATGCAGCATCCCTCTCTGTGTGTGTGTGTGTGTGTGTGTGTGTGTGTGTGTGTGTGTGTGTGTGTGTGTGATTTTTTTTTTGTCCTCTGGGATCTGCTCCGACACCAAGCAACTGTCTCCTTCAGATACTGAATACATGAAACCCAAGACCCACAATTCTCCACCCAGAAATCATGTAAAGTTATTTCAGGAAGAATCTTACACTATAATTTCTACGATTTCAGGCACCCCTAAAGTGGACCGTACCATTTCGCCCTGGAGAGAAAGTTAATTGTTGATAAAAAGACGGTAAAAAGATCAATTAAATAGATATTAATAGATATTATTAATATTAATAGATTTCAAAGAGAAGAAAAACAGATAAAACAATCAGGTGTATAAAAACCAATGCAGAGCAATTCGAAGAGAAATAAAACAATTCAAGGGAAAGTAAAAGCAGGAAAAACTCTCTGATGTAAGTATGTTTTAAGAAGAGTGTTAAAAGAATAACCAGTTAGTTTGTTAGTTAGCTGGCCTCTTACTGCATCCTACAACCTGCTCTTCTTAAACTTCTGCTGATTGTATTTAGGCTTCAAAATTCATAAAGTGGTGTTCATTAGTGGAGATGATCCTGCCGAACCAAAGCTGTCAGGATCATAAACTGTTGTTTGTCACAGTTTATTTTCTCTAATAATTCAAAAGACAATATAAAAACCCCATTGGGCTTTTTGTTGAGGGAACCAGGGTGACGCTAACATCTGGGTTATCCTACAAAAATACATCATCCCTGCAGCACTATTTTCACTGGAAACAAGAGAGCATATGGAACCCAAAAGACAGACCTAAATCTTAAAGACATTAAATCAACTTTTCAAGGAATTAAGGTGATTTAATGTTTTTTCTCTCTAGTTTAAGAAGTAAAAATGTGGTGGTTCCATTATTCCAAACTGCTTTTGTAAAGACAGACGGAGATTTGATTTTAAATTCTAGTGGAGCATCCAATTTTTGCTGCGTGTTAAAAACAATACCAACTTGCATTTGCTAAAGAACAAGTTTTGTAATATACTATATGTTTCTTCTTATCATCAGAACTAAACCAACAATGATTGTTGAGCTTTCTACTGGGGTTATAGTCTTTATATGTTGTGCCTCTCTTTTATTCCTCTGCTCAATGTTAACTGTCTTTTGTATGTACTATTCATTATTATAATAATGTGAGATAAAGTTTGACACGACATTGTGATGCCTTGTAGAAAAAGACTATCCACTTTATGTGAATGTGCTTCCTCCCTGTTCGGATCATAGAGCAGTTTATCCAGTGAAAACTAAACGTCCAACCTCCTGTGGACCCAGTGAGGCTGGTGTGAGAGAGAGAAAGAGGGTGAGGGAGGGAGGAGGGACGTGGGTGAGAGACAAACAGAGAGGAGAGAGAGGCGCCATCCTCTGCTCCATTCAGTTTTTTGCCATAACAAACACACACCTATGTTCATTCATTAGTGTCAGACTGAAAGTCCAGTGATGCTTTGTCATCACAGCGGAGCCAGGTCTGGACTGGTCCTGGTTCAAATCCACAGCTGGAGAGTCTGAACAGGAAGCTCAAAGCGAGGTCACACCTCAGACAGATGTTTCAGTCGCTGGTAAAGGTGTGTGTGGCAGCTTGTGATGCAGTGGGTGGAGGACCTGAGCGTGCGACCGTCAGCTGACGGTGTAAACAGTGTGAGATGTGTCAGGAGAGCAGGTGTTCCTGTTGTTCCGCTCTGTCGTTCTGTCCCGGTGTCTGTGCTGGAAAAGTGGAGCGGTGCTTCCGCAAATTAAGGTCCAGACAGACAAACATTCCAGCGGAGCGTCGCTGATGCAAACCGAACACTCCGGGGGTTTGATGGAGATTCACCGCAAGAAATTACGATTTTTTTTTTTTTTTTTTTACACAGTCGTCTTGAATTCAGACGGAAAAGTTTGAACTCGGTTTCCTCTCTCTCTCTCTTTCTCTCTCTCTCTCTCGCTGCTTAAGTTCATTTTAGCAGCTTTGACTTACATTCACAAGAAGACCGAACACCTCAGTTTTAAACCTTTAACATTTCCCGTGAACATCAAGGAGGAATGAGAGTGTAATAACCAGTGTTGTGCATGAGCGCACTAATTTTCGGGTGAACTAAACGTATCCGTTTGCAGCTAATGAACATGAACGTGAGCGTCGTTCAGAGTGAGGTAGTGAACCAAAAAGCTTTTTGCCAAGTGCTAAAAAAAAACCCACCAGAGGTAGAAGAAGCACTGTGTTTTGGTTTTACTGCGGCACACAAGGGTTTTACAGCGGCAGGCATGTGTCCGGCGTGGTGTCGAGCGCTGGCAATACAAACAGCACAGCTACTGGCGCTGCTAAAGTCAGTTCTCATTAACTTTTTTTTTTGAACAAATCAGTTCAGATTCCAACAGAGAAATCTCGGCGCCTGATCTGCATAAACAGACACATCAGTAATGAATCTGAAACGACACATCGGGTTGAAGCATCCGGCCGGTCTTTAGATAAAATCTCAGTGAATGATGATCACAAGAAATCATTAGGAAAGAGTCAGACCATGAAACAACAGCTGTGAAGTTCCTCTTCTTGAGCCAAACTCACAGCACACACACATAAAACATATACTCATTCATAAACTCATTGGTTTTTCTTATCTTTTAAAAGTAATCTCTCTATTGTAGTAAACAGTAATTCATGTAGTTTGAGAGTAGTGATTCGAGGCTGAGGATGGATGGAGGAGGAGGTTCTACTGAAAAAGAATAAAAAAAAAACAAACAGAAGAACTAGCTCATTTTAACTTTTGTGAACTGAACTCTGGTGAAGTGTGAACTTGCACAACATTGGATATAACTATCAAAACTCAAAACAGTTCAATATAAACTACTGTATTTTTATTGACATCTATATCTTAAATCTACTTCCATCTTTTATTTACTGGCTTTCCTTCCTGTTACATTTAACATTTGTACATTAAGAACTTATATTATATTTATACATAGTTATATTTGATATCTTTATAATCTCTTGATAATTTAGGGCACCGACAGAGACGTATTTTTAAGGTGAACATTTTTTGCAGTGTGGACAGTTAACAGTGTGTGAGTGTGTGTGTGTGTGTGTGTGTGTGTGTGTGTGTGTGTGTGTGTGTCTGTGTGTGTGTGTGTCTGTGTGTGTGTGTGTGTGTGTTTGCTCCACTGGACATGGTTTCTGGTTTGGACAGCTGAGAGCCAGCGGACTCTGTGTCAGATTAGCTTTGAAAGTCATTAGCGCAGCTTGATTTAAGCCAGGAGCTGAAGCCCTCCGGCGGCTCACTGACAACTTCTATCTTCATTGGGATCGTGTTGAAGGTTCACTGGAAAACGCTTTGTTCCTTTATCCTGCTTTTATTGATGCTCATGGTGGTTTTTCAAGTTAAAGTGGCATAAATAAAAAGCTTTTAGGCTAAAATGTAATGTCAGGAAAGAGCTGAGAGACAGAGGCAGGTCACTGTGAGAAACCACTTGCACGTTACACACAGTCATTTGATCAGTTTGTATTATAGGAATATAAATTACACTGGCTTCTTGTCTGCTTTATGTCTGCAGTTCCTGGTCAGACCCTGTCCTCAGATCACCATCACAGTTAGAAAGAAATACACCAGAGTACTTAGAACACACGCACACACACACACACACACACACAAACAGACAGAAGGAGGCTCTCTGTTCTTACAACATGTTGACAGAAATACCAGGCAGTGATTGATTTACATTAAGACAATCTGCTGGGGGCGGGGCCTGGGCTCCTCGCTCCATTACGACCGTCCCGGCGCTTATCAGAGTCGAATCCTTCCAGGAAACACGACCCCGTAAAAGCTTTCTGCGGCTTCTCAGAGGCTCACCGTCCACTGCTCCACGTAAACAAAGCTCTCTGTGTGTCACTGTGTGTGTGTCACTGTGTGTGTGTCACTGTGTGTGTGTCACTGTGTGTGTGTCACTGTGAGTGTCAGTTTGAAAGTCTAATAGCTCCAATGAGTGTTTGTGTGTATACTTCTGCAAGTGCCTGACTCAGACAGTGTATAATGTTTCTATGTGTGTGTGTGTGTGTGTGTGTGTGTGTGTGTGTATGTGTGTTCATCCACTGCACCGATGTACAGTTAGTGTGACAGCACTGGATCGATGCAGTGTCCATGTCTCCTCTCAGCAAGCTCATTAGCTTAGCTGCTAATATTCGGTTCTGTCGACTGAGATCTACCAATCACGTTGCTTCCTTTATCAAACCTCACAGTGAGCTTCATCACACGTTAGCTATGCAGCAATAGTAATTACTAGTAATACTATTAATAGTAATAGTACTTACGAATAGCTCCTTTTAAATAAAATGGGTAAGGAGCTAATTTAAGAAATTAAAAAAAAAGAAATGATGAAATAAAATGAAAACTTGGATATTTCTACGAAATTTTGTGCCAGTCTGAACATTTATTAGATATTTCACAGGAAAAGTGAAAATTTCAGGTTTCATATGTTCAACTTTCAAGTTTCCAATGTAAACAAAAATATGTTGAAAAACAATCACCGAAAAAGAGACAACACCTTGACAAAAATGACTAATGCATCGTATGAGGCATCAAAGAAGGCACAGGTACAGGCACAACAAGCAGGCCTGACTTCGTGTGAGGCAGCATCTTTGTCCTGCACCAGGCTGTGGACTCACCTGTCTCTGGTTCTCTGTCTCGAGTCGCAGTCGAGCCTCGATGCAGCGCCGCGTCTCCAGAAAGGCCTGGCGCTGTGCCCGGTCCGACAGGTAACTGATGAATATCCCAGCGGTGTTCATACACAGGAACAACACAGCCTGAGCCGCTACCTGAAAAAACACAGAGGGAGAGGGGGGGGTCATTTTAAAAACCACAGACAGGAAGCTGAAGCTTTTCTGTACCGAGTTTGTTTTAGTTCACAAAGGCCATCTACCAGTGAATACACACTTTCAGATCTCAGAAATACCAAAAGAAACATTTAAGACTTTAAGACTAGAACTTTGTTATTTTAAAATAGTTATTAATTTAAAAATAAACCTGCAGCTCCTATCTGGTTACTATGATCAACTTCAGACCAACATGACTGAACACTGTGTGAACAGAGCATCTATCTGTTGACCTCACGCTTCATTACTTCATACTGTATGTAGACTCTTTGAATAAAATACCCACTCCTGATACTTGGTGTGACATGATGCACCATGAAAGGACTGTATGTTCCAGACGGCGTTATCTGACCAGTCACTGTGGCGCGACTACCTTTATGTCAGTGGTAATATAATGCAAGTGTTATTTTTAGCATGACAGCTGAATAAAAAGCCTCCTGTTTAATGTGTTTGCAGATGAGCTGCTTCATTTATCCGCCAGATGATTTGTTGAACATGTGCCTCACGCCTGTTCCCGCAGGTACAGACCAGTGACCTGGTTTGACTGGCTGGCCGACTTGTCTTCTAGGCTGAAGACCCTGTCAAGAATAATTGTCTTACTTCTAATTCATTTTTGAAGGCATTTGACAAAACACATCAGTCTCATGTGGACATGGACTGAAGATTAAATGACTGAGGGGGAGACGTGCGAACAACTGGAGTGCCAGCAGCTCTGGTCTCCTGGCTTAGAACTTTGTGACAACACAACAAAGCAGTCACCGCTCTCAGCCATGTCCCAAGCCCCGCCCACCTGGACCCGTCATCCAACCTCGCAGGATTTGGTTTCTCTGAGTGTTTACCTGAAATCTGCTATATTTTTTTATTGGGTCACTCAGAAAACAGTCAGTCAATTAGAAAAGAGGCTCAGAGCCTCCTCTCTTCTGATTGGCTCACTGACCTGTTGTTACTAGAGCTCCAGAGAGAAGCCTGAGAGAGGAGATGTAAAACTACACTGAGATGGTTTTTGGTTCTTAAAACCACAAATATATCTTCTAATGGATCAACACTTCAAATAAAACACAGAAGAAGAGGAGAATATGGAGCTTGTTTACAGAAGCAGCTTCTAAGAACTGTTCAGACCAAAAATGGGGGAAGTAAATGACGCTGTCTCATAGCATCAGGAACAGTACAGCCCTACGTCTTTCTGAAACTTGAGTATCTGTTCAAGGATCTAGGAAATAGACCCCCCCCGCCAAAAAAAAAACACAATGTAAGATAAGATTAAAAATTAACATCAGGGGTGAGTTTGGTGAGTCACTGACAAGCTTTCTACCACTTTGATGACTCAATGAGCCCTGACGTCCACTGAACAGAGACGAGAACATACAGAGGAGATGGGAACATCTGAAACCGGATCAGACGAGGGAAAAAAAAGAGCATAAAGAAAGAAAACAGGTCACTGATCCTCATCGAAGGTGTGAACACTGCACAGCTCCTCCATCACATGATCTGCCTGCGGGACAGTAACACTATGAAGAAACTTTCACGCACTGCTAGTAGGTTACATGAATTTAAACGTGATATGTATCAACAGATCAGACTCATCTGTTTTCAGTCATTCAGGATCTACTGAACAAAAATATTCAGTTTGTGTCTATGTCTCTTTTAGCTGGATGACAAGAGGGTGAAATGAGTTTTAAGATCGTTACAGGACCAATCTGATGTCAAAATGTAATGCTCCAGATGTGTTTGGGTTTCTTTTGTATTAGAGAAAACAGTAGCTGATATTTTGCAGCAACATTAATTTTTTTTCTATGACAGTGGAAGCAGATGTTTCAGGCAGTCACATCTGTTCAGTCAAACGGAAATGTTTACTTTATAATCAGTGAAGAATTAAATGAAAACAAAACGATTTGATGAAACTCAAACTCTGTGTCTGTTATTCACTATTCACCCATCCTAATGATCAACACACCTGGAGGATTATTATCATTATTAACACTTAGAATAACACAAGAATAAACCTGTATCTCCTGTCAGGTGACCCATGTGTTTTCATCTCAATTAAAAATGAGTCATTCGGTTATAATCTTGTAATTTTGATCTTTGACAGAGAGACGTGAATAACAGAGAGCGCTGAGGGCTAATGAATCAATTAGAGAGAGAGAATTTATATTCTGGAGTAATTTGAGGATATAAATCATTCAAAACAACACAAAAAGGTGTTCCGGGTGAACAATTTAGAGTCTTATTTGTAATCTGAAGGCACAATTTGAAAGATGAGGGTTGAGGTTTTATAATCTTTAGTAAATTCCTGCTTCATAGTTTGTTAAACTTTGTGCTTTGTGCTCTGTAACATTTCAGCAGAACACATCAGTGAAAACACAGCCTCCCTCCTTCATTCTGTGAAAGACGACTTCATTTATTTCATTTTTTAATTTATTTTTTGTCAGAAAGCAGAACTGATGTAACACTCTGCAACAGTGCCGTCCTCCTCAGCTGCACGAGGGATTTCAACACCACCATCACCGCTGCCGCCCCAGCTGCCTTCCTCCTGCCTGCATGACGCAAGTGTTATAACAGGTTGGCTGAGAGTTCAACACATCTCACAGAGGAAAACCCTCAACTGCTTCCAGCCTACTGCTTCTCACACACACACACACACACACACACACACACACACACACACACACACACACACACACACACACACACACACACACACACACAGAGGCTGCCCTTCAAACTAAGACATTAAATTGAACTATTTTTGAGCCAAAATGGTGAAGACTGTTTATCTATGGTGCTCTTGTGTATGGTGTGTGTATGGTGTATGTGTGGGTCTGTGTGTGTGTATATGTGCATATATGTGTGTGTGTGTGTGTGTGTGTGTAGTGTGTGTGGAGAGGGGGGGGGGGGGGGTAATTACAGTTGCAGACAAGTCTGGTCAGGCCCTGAGCATCTGCTACCATCTACAGTATCTCTGTCTGTCCAAAAAGGACAGTCTTCAAAATGAGCAGACTTGTACTGTAACTGCAGAGAGCTGATAAACTGGTCAATCAATAAGTCATGATTACCTGCACAGGTGAGGAGATTTCTGGCTTGTAAAACTCATCTTCTGACCTGCACAGGCAGGGCCAGATTACCAACTAGGTACACTCTGTTTGGGAATATTCACCATCCCTGTGTCATGATTCACTCTGAGCACTGTCATTATTTCAATCTTGTGCTTAAATGTGGCGTCTTTCACAAAGTAAGCGTGGGTCAGCCACTGACCAGTACAGAAAGACAGTACATATTACACAGAGAGCACAGCAGTCTTTCATATGGACCCAGCAGCTTATATCTACCCCAGGGTCCAAAGCCATGGTTCACAACCCAACTACTGACCCTACAAAACACAAACAGTACGACTAAAATGGAAAGAGATGAGGAAAAATACAATAAAAAAAGTGCCTTAAATTGCCAGATAAATGCCAGTATCAAATAATAGCCGGCGTTTTTAACCAGCACAAACGATATGCATGATGGGTAAAAAAAAACATATTGCAGCTCACATGGAAAATCCAGCATAATGCACATTTCCACAGCACAGCCTCTCTTCTGATTGGCTGACTGTTTTCTGACTGATCCAATTAAAATATAGCAGATTTCAGGTAAACACTCAGAGAAACCAAATCCTGCATGGATGGATGGTGGGTCCAGGTGGCTGAGAGCGGTGACTGCTTTGTTGTGACATCACAAAGTTCCAGAAGTCCTGACGGCTGGTTTTAAGGCTCAGTTTCTGAATACAGGCTGTGTGCATTTCTCTGTGGACTGAGGCTTTGATACTTTCACAGTATTAATATAGAACCTAGACCTGATCTATAATCAAACTACACATGGACGTCTAACTTTATACTTTATGGGACCTTTAAGCCAGTAATTTTTTGTTGGTGTGACACAAACACATTATACAGCATCCACCACTTTGGCTGCTACAATATAAAACATTCCTCTACTTCCTGTATTAATCATAAACTGCAGATGTATCCAGTATAAGCGATGCTTCCCAGGCAGCCTGAGCTGTTTAAGATGACAAACACACCACTGGTGACTCAGTGCATTTCAGCCTCGAAAGCTTATAAAACAGCCTGTTTTCTAAAAATATATAAATGCAGAGGCAGGTTTATTATTCCAGAATTTAGCACGGTGATGTTTTCCCTCCTCGCTCCATGTTTCTGCTGGATTTCTGCTCTAATTAGCTATCGCATCCTGAAAATGTGACTTCTGTTTGTCTCACAGGGTTGGTGAAAAGGAATCTGCAGAATCTAAAGACAGAATGCGTCTTTTATAGTTCACTCCTGTGTTATAGAAGTCTCATTATGAGGCACACTGTAAATCAAAGTGATGGTGATTAAATCCTTTTAAAAGCGTGTTATTGCTTCCAGTCTTGTCTACTGTGTTGGTTTTCCTTCTTTTTCTTTTTTTTTTTTTTTTTTTAATAAAGATGAAATGCTTGTGCTCTTACACTCGAGGCTGAATTGTGTCGGAGCTGATAAAAACCTCAGACAGACAGTTCAGTGTCCCCTGTCGCTGAGAAAGAGGCTCTGAAGAGCTCTGCCACTGTTTGCCTCTGCAGTAAAATTGCTTCACTGAGAGTACATTTCAAGAGGAAACTAGAATTACCGCCTCGTGGTTATTTCGCCTCCGCCAACCAATCTAGTTGCAATTTGCATCCATGTCTAGACTCATATAATAGGAAATTTTTTATATCTAATATAAGGATATATAAATAAAATTGACTTTGGTAAGCTTTGTGCTTCTACTTCTGCTGTGTGTCAACTAGGAATTCTCAAACACGGAGGCTCCGAACACACGACTTCAACCAAAGAAGATTGACCCAATCATTACAGTTTCAAGGTTTGCTCCAAACATTACTGTCACCGGTTCAGTATCTGACCACATGTGAAATATGGTCACAA